CGGAAATGTGACGATTGTCAAAGGTACAAACACTCTAGGCCTAATGTTGAACCAATGACAATAACAACAACAGCAAGTTGTGTATTTGAAAAAGTTTTTCTAGATATCGTCGGACCACTCGAAGTAGATGCTCAAAATAATCGATATGTCCTAACTCTACAGTGTGAGTTGAGCAAATTCGTGGAAGCTTACCCGTTACAAAATAAGGAAGCTGAAACTGTGGCAAAAAGTTTTGTTAATAATTTTATTTTGCGGTATGGAATCCCGTCCGAGATCGTTTCTGATCGTGGGTCGGAATTTATGAATGAAACTTTGGATAAAGCTTGCAAACTTTTAAAAATAAAGAAATTAAATTCCACAGCTTACAGGCATCAAACTTTGGGGTCCCTTGAAAATACGCACAAGTCTCTGAATGCATATTTACGCATTCAATGTCAAAATTTTAAAACTGATTGGTCTTCATGATTACCATTTTGGTGTTTCTGTTTTAATAATACAGTGCATACGGAAACCAAATATACCCCCCATGAGTTAGTTTTCGGCAGATTGTGCAACATTCCGTCTAATATAACTCAAAAAGTAGACCCTGTTTATAACTTCGATAGTTACCCTATAGAGCTCAAATACCGTTTACAGGAAGCATGTAGGGACGCGAGGAGTAACTTATTGACATCAAAAAGCAACCGTAAATTGAATTATGACAAAAATTGTAAAATTGTTAAATACAACATTGGGGATAAGATTTTACTTAAAAATGAAGCAGGAAACAAAAGTGAGCCCATTTATAAGGGTCCTTATATTGTTACGCAAATTAACTCTCCAAATATTGTAATTAGAATAGGTAAGAAATTTGTAGAGGTACATAAAAATAGAGTTAAGTTATACTATGAATAATCTTTTTAGGGTTAAGTTATCCTTTTTTTTCAGCGAAAAAATTAAAGTCAAAATTTCCCGGATTTTTTTTCATGACGTCATAGAGGACGTTCAGACAAATGTCGGAACCCACTTTTCCCCCCTCAATTCTCAGTTTTTCCTAGAGTTTTTGCTTCGCTCTTTTATAGGTTCCTTATGAAAAAAATAGAAAATCGAAATTTTCCGAATTTTGGAAAAATAAAAATTCCAGTGTATAGAGGAGGTGAAAACAAGCAGAAAAGCTATTTGGCATTTTCTCGTAGGACGTCTTCTAAGCTTGGAAGAAAAATAAAAAAGAAAATCTATAGAGGGGGCTTTTCCAGTAGCGCGCCTGACATGATCCCATTAAATCGGCCATAACTCTGGAAGCCCTGGACCGATTTTAATGAATCATGTTTCATTGGATAGAGGATTAAATTTGCTACAAAATAGTCGTATTTCAGGCTTCCAAATTTCAAAAAAATTCCTTAATTTTTCATATTCAAATCGGAAAATTAATCGGCCATTACTCTGGAATGCTTTGATCGATTTGAGTACGAATCATGTTCCATTCGATAGAGGATTTTAATGAGCCTAATTGCATTGAAAATAAACAATTTTTCTTGATTATTTAAACAATTTTAATAGTTTTATTAGTGGCGCCATCTAGTAATCGAGAGTCTAACTAAAAATTGAAAATTTCTTTTGCTTAATATTAGTTATTATGACAGGAATCTGTAATTCGCATTTTTTGGCCCTCGACCATTTTGTTCCAAAATTTTATCAATTACTTTATTGGTTGTATTGATTTTTTTAAATTTTAATTGCCTAAAAGAATAATAATAACTTTATTTTGCATTAAAATCAATTAATTACCATTACAAGAATTTGTAATTGGCAACTTTGGCCGCTCGTTGATAGATGGCGCTGGTAGGTTAAATAATCTGTTTTTTTGAATTATTATTAATTTCAATAATTTTACTATTGATTACTTGCTTTATATGTCTATATTTATCACTTTTTATCAGTAATAAAAAATCGATTGATTACTGTTACAGAAATTTGCAATTTACAAGTTTAGATAGTTGGGGATTTTATGCAAATGGGAGTACTAATTAGTTAATTCCAATGCTTTTTTCAATTATTATCGGTTTATTGATTATTAACTAATAGTAATTAAGCGTCATTTGTATGAAAATCGCATTAGTTTCATTTAAGTTTTGGCTGTTCGTTAATAGATGGCGCTAGCAACTTTGTTGATTAATTTTTACATTTTATTCGATAATTAATCGATTTTGATAATTTATCTAATCGACGAAGGTATTTATTAATTAAAATTTCAACCCGATTCCAACGTAATTAGTTTTCAATTAAAGCTAATCAAATTATTTACAAATTTTCTGTGAATGATTTCAATAGTTTTACAACTACAATGGGAATAGCCTAGTATCGCCATCTATTATCATCATGCCTCAAACATTTTGAGCTTAGTACAATAATCATTGTACAATAGTTCCGCAGAAGAATCAACTTTGAACGCTGCAAAGCAATCTACAACGAGGACATGGACAGGAAAATCAAGTTTGTCCTAAGAAAAAACAGGGCCGATCCATTTCCAGGATGCTTATAAATTGTTTATTGTAATAAATTTAGTACATTTAATTAATTAAAAGGGATCAAGTTTTTGTCGCATTCAAACCACTGACCTTTGGCGCAAACGGAATTGACCTTTTCAATTTAAAAGCCTCTCTCTCTGGCATCAAACTGTTAGACGCCAAAAGAGTATGAAAACAATGGTTGGCAGCCGTTGACAGTGGTTCGTAGACAAGACTTTTGCAAGAAAATATTATTTCCCCGATTTTTTCAAGGTTTTTTTTGTGTGTGTAATGTGCCTTTTCATAAAAATAATTCCTATTCACCGGCGGACGTGTCTTTTCATAAGTTTCCATCAATTCCTACATTTGTCAAAATTTGGATACACAAAATCAGAAAGGATACTCGCAAAAGAAAGGGAAATCCACGGCCCATCAAATATACAAAATAATCCACGTTCAAGTTTAGTTTGCGGAAGCTGTTTGCTTTCAAAATAATCCACCACCGTCTCCATGTCTAAGCTCCGCGAATGAAGCAGTGACTTTTCCCACATTTTCTTTCCAATTTCAAACCCTGCGATGGATCCACCATTCTATGTCGGTCATTCTCATTTTCCATTCACTTAACAAAGATAGCTAACTCATCGGTGAAGTCACCGATTCGAATAAAAACGTGGGGATTGCTAAACACTCAATACACATTGACATTGACAAGCAAGCAAATGTTGGCGGGAAAATGAATGTTTTCATACTTATTGTCCATCTCTTTTAATTGAAAACGTCAATAATTGACCTTTTCAATTTAAAAACCTCTCTCTCTGGCATCAAACTGTCAGATGCCAAAAAAGTATGAAAACAATGGTTGACAGCCGTTGACAGTGGTTTGTAGACAACTTTTGAAAGAAACTATTATTTCTTCGGCGTTTTCAAGGTTTTTTGCTAACAATGGTGATTGTGTGTAGTGTGCCTATTCATAAAAATAATTCCTATTCACTGGCGGACGTGTCTTTCCATAAGTTTCCATCAAATCCTACATTTGTCAAAATTTGGATACACAAAATCAGAAAGGATACCCGCAAAAGAAAGGGAAAACCACGGCCCATAAAGTATACAAAGTAATCCACGTCCAAGTTTAGTTGGCAGAAGCTGTTTGCTTCCAAATAATCCACCACCGTCTTCAAAGCGAAGTTCTCCAAACGAAGCAGTGACTTTTCCCACATTTTCTTTCCAATTTCAAACCCTGTGTTTTTATTCATATCAAATACCGATGGATCCATCATTTTATGTCGGTCATTTCCATTTTTCATTCAGTTAACAAACATAGTAACTCATCGGTGAAGTCACCGATTCGAATATAAAAACGAGGGGATTGCTAACCACCCAATACGCATTGACATTGACAAGCAAGCAAATGTTGGCGGGAAAATGAATGTTTTCATACTTATCGTTCGTCTCTTTTAATTGAAAACGTCAATACAGGGTGTCCGTTTTAAGTGATACCACTATTGCTATCTCCGAAACGGTAAAAGATACGAGGTCGGTTAAATTAAAAAAAAGTTGCCTTTTTTGATGCCCATTTACAGTGTTGCCGAATTCCTTTCAGTTTAGGAAATATATAGTGATTTCTGAGAAATGCCTAAAACTATTTCATCAATTATTTCAAAAACTATTAATTTTCGGGACACAATTTAATTTTGAAAGTTTTATAACTTTTGTCGCTTTACAACATGGCATCTTCAAATTTCAAATTTGACGTTTTGTGATTGAGCTACCATCATCAACTTCATTTTTTCAAATACGGACCTGGATTTTTTATGTCAAGCGCACTTTAATCTTCTTTTAACGATATACCTTTTAAGTATGATTGGTCGACGTTTCTGCTCGAAAGAGTGATCATCAGTGATTTTTACCAGGGGCCGAATTAGGGTAAAATTTTGGTAAAAATCACTGATGATCACCTTTAAAAGCAGAAACGTTGGCCAATCATACTTAAGAGGTATATCATTAAAAAGGGAATAAAGGGAGCTTTCTAAATAAATGACATAAAAAATTAAGTTGATGATGGTAGCTCGATCACGAAATGTCGGATTTGAAATTTGAAGATGCCATGTTGTAAAGCGATAAAAATTATAAAATTTCAAATTGAAATTGTGTCCTGAAAATCAATAGTTTTCAAAATAATTGATGAAATAGTTTTAGGCATTTCTCAGAAATCACTATATACCTATTTCCTAAACTGAAAGGAATTCGGCAACACTGTAAATGGGCATCAAAAAAGGCAACTTTTTTCTAATTTAACCAACCTTGTATCGCTTACCGTTTCCGAGATAGCAAAAGTGGTATCACTTAAAACGGACACCCTGTATAATATGATTCATTTATTAAAATCTCGAGACTGTTGAATGAGATTTACTTACTCCGAATTATTGCACTACATTTCAAAAAGAATCAGGTGCTAACTTCACGCGTGCCTCAAAACTTTGAAATATGAAAAACATTATAGACATAAAAATATCACTAACTCACCTCAGTATTTGTTGACACGTTAAAATGGAAAGACTCATTACTAATATCCTAAAAGTAAAAAAATTCCCAGATTCATAACCCCGAAACATTCTAAAACTTTACTTACTTCATCAAATTCCTCTTTAAACTTTTTAATAAGCACATCCCTGGGCAAAGCTCCATCGCCCACCTGTTTCGGATAATTGACGCTGATTTTATTCGGAGTATCGTCGGCTCGAATCGCCTGATTCCACGCATCCAATAAATCTTTTCCTATTTTCTCAGTCGTTTCTAATGGTGATTTTTGCTCAGAAATGTGCATTTTTAGAGATTTTTCTGTTGAGGCGATCATTTGTTTCATAGTATTAATATGAGTTTGGTTGAGGTTCAAATCGGCCGTTTCCGTGTCGATTTTTTGGTTGATCAACTGAGAAAAAATATTGATTTCAACTTTAAACAAACAAAAAAAAAAAAAAAATATTAAAACTCACCTCAGTAAGGCGTGACTTTACTATACTATTGTTTTGAGTTATATTTTCAAAATTTTCCTCAACACTCTCTCAGTCTGGGCTACCAAATCAACTCCAGTATTTGGCAATACTGTTGATATTGATATGAAATCTTGTTTGATCTGTAATTGACCGATAAAAATTAATTATAAACTTTACTTCATAAACAGTATGAAATAAAATATTGTAGTTATTCACTACGGATTTATACAAAAATGATTACCATATTTTTATCTTCTTCCTCCTCGATAATAAAGTTGTTGGTTTCTCTGTCGATTGTTTCCAACGTTTCTACCATTTCTTCGACTTCTTGTTCCAATAATTTGATTTGTTGCCTTTTGTGTTGTATTTGCTTGTATAACATGTCCCTGAAACGCGATCTCACTTTGTTCAGCTGCTCCGCATGTCTTGTCGTGTATTTCTGAAACTGAAACAGAAAATAAAATAATTACAGCTGAATATCGAGGGTTTCTTTCAGGCAGTGGCGGCGGCTGGTGAGAAGAAAAGTTGGCAAGGGGAAAGCCCCAGAAGCTCGCATTTTTTTTTAGATTGACCCAAACTAGGAATATAAAGAAAAGAGAGAGAGAACCGTAAGCAATACTTTATTCATTTTAACGGTCGACCATAGGAATAGGTACTTACATTTTTACATCCTTTATCGACCAATCCCATCACTTCACTCACACAACTCCGTCTTTCCTCTATAACCTCACTCACTCCGTTCTTATTATTAGCCACATCCTCGATTTCCTTTTTCCAAGCAGCGCAACGCTCCATTTCCTGGTGACACGCCCGCGCACTTTCTTCCAAAACAGCCATTTGATTGGTCACGGCAGACTGTGACGTTAACGACATCTTGTCCAATTGCTCCCGACCGCTAACAATAGTTTCTTGCAAACTGCGACACTTTTCCTGTATTAAACGGTTGTTGGAGAGACTATTGAAATATTGGGTTTCGAGTTTGAACTGCAGCATGTTGTGACTGTCAATCAATGTATTGGTGGCCTGCAGCAAACATTTCGCCTGGGTGTTTTCGTCTTGCACCGATTGGAAATAATTTTTGGACAAATACTTTTCCTGTTGCAAATTTTCACGGTGTTCTTTGAGAAGCGCCGTCGCTTTGTGGATGATTTTCTCTTTGTTTTTGCAATTTTTCATCGCTTCCTCGTAGTCGCGCGTTTTAATTTTTTGTATCACTTCGAGATCGGCCAGGCGCTTTTTCATGCCGTCCATAATTTCGTTTTTCATTGTTAACGAATTTGAGTTGACGTGAAGCTGATTTTGTATTTCGTCCCAGTGTTGTTGCGCCACGAAAAAGCCTCCGCCTCCGCCTTCGCCAAGTCGAGTGGCTTCTAATTTGCGTTTTAGTTCTTCAATTTCCGTTGTCAGTTGTTTGAACATTTGGACTTGTGTTACTTTTTCGTTGACCATCGGAGTGTTTTTGACGTCCCTAGCCCTCATTGCATATTCTAGAGTACACTGGGTTACTTCGTAGGAGCTGTCAGCTGGAGACACGGTGGCGATGATGCAGGTTTTGGTGTGGCCTCCTAAACTGTCCTGCAAAATTCTCGTTAGCTTCGAATCCCGATAAGGAACGTGCCTATTGCTTTTTTCTGTCAAACTTTGTACCACGCGTCCCAATATCAACAGCGACCGATTAATGTTGGCCAGTTCCAGAGCCCTTTTATCTTTGGCGCCGCTTTTCGCGATATTTTCACTGCCGGCCAGATCTACTAGATTTATTTAGCCTGTCTTCAAAACTTCTTCGCCGTTTAAATCAGCTTCTTTGATGTGTACGGTTATGGTGAAAACTGTGTGCGAACGAGAGCTGTGATTGTTCATGTGAGTTGAGTTGGTCTGACATCTTAGTGTGCCTTGTTTCAGTAGTTCGTATATGTCATTGCTGTTGAAGACGTTTTTTTCATTTAGGTTTTGTATGAAGACGGCGCCCTTGTTGTCATTGAAGATGCTGAAAATTAAAAAAATTTAGACAAATCATGGGGTGATGGAGCTTTTCGTATTTATTTATTTATTTATTTATTTATTTTCCAACCAACTACAAGGTTTATTATAGGGAATATAATATACAAATTGTACTTCAATATACTATCATCATGTAATATTGATCTTTTTCCTTGATTCACGAAATATACATTAATAAGATTTAAATATCCATAAGGTTTATATAAATTAACAGATGGTTCTAAATAAGGCAATTCATTCATGTATACATTTGATAATTTTGTTTTGCATAATTTATAATGGTTTCAAATGCGAGATCCCCATATTGAAATCAAATATGGCAGTTTCGAATGAAACAAAGCAAAATAAATCATTTTTAAATATTTAATTGAAATAAAGTTTCTAGCTTAATAAGCATAATACTCCAATGACAGTTGAAATATGTTTTCTTAAATAATCCAATTTTCCATATGATTTTTTGGTTTCCGTTTGAAACAATATAGGATTTCCGTAATTCATAGTTATTGGGAAATTTTTTCACTTTTTTATGCAAACTGTCTCCGTTTTTGGTCATCATTGTTAAATATTCGTTGAACCATGGTTTTGATTATATTTCATTTTAATTTTTTTTTTTTTGTGCAACCGTTCGCGAAATTAACTTTTGCGACCGCTACACTGGCCGTGAAATTCAAATTCGCGGCCGCCATACCTAACGTGCAAAATGTGTCAAATCCATACAGTTTTTCTGTAACTTTACATAATTTTTATAGTTGCACAAAATAGTTATTTTTGTATCTAGTGCGCGAAATGCTACTTTGGTGATCGAAATCTGATTTTTTTAACGAGGCGCAGCCGAGTTAAAAAAATAGTCGAGATCACCAAAGTATTTCGCGCCCGAGTTGCAAACAATATTTTGTCTACAACTGCATTTAAATATCGATCATTCGAAGGCAAAATTGCATTTTCAATCAAAGGAATTTTAATTATTTTTGGTTTCCTGACAGGTGTGTGTCAGGTATTTATTACCTGAGTGTGCGAGCTAGCTATTTCGCGCACCAGGGTGCGAAATAGCTAGTTCGCGCACGGCGTCATGAGAACGTTAAAAAATCAATACCTGGGAAAAAAAGTGTCACTTCGCAAACTGTCATGAGTGTGCGAATATCATCATTTTTTGACAGTTGTAGAAAAAATAATGTGTATACCATGACCGCAAAACTTTTAAGCGTCCTCATTTTTAGATTATTAGTATTGTTAACTAGCTGCTTAGGAAAGGAAAACCCGGTATTCAACCTTATTAATTTAATTGCCGATTTGGTCGGATGTTTATTGCAATTCAACAATAAACGGATATAAATTGCGCTGCAAGCCGCAGCAAAGGCAGACTTACTTAAACCAGTGCAAGTACCTCTCGTTGGAGAAGCCCCTCTGGAATTAAGTCTCCCCAGTGCAAGTACTTGTAGCTACTCGAATTTGGCACTTATTAGGCTCATAATTTTATTTCTACGGCTGCATTGGTTTACAGGGTGTCCACATTTATAGGTTCAAATTTCAATAAGTACTATTAGGGATTTTTTTAGAAAAAATCTGATAGCAGATTCTTGTTTAGAATGGTCTAAAACCCTAATGTACGAATTTTTGTTCCAATAGGATACACGGTGATCACAACAAATTTTTAAAATTTAATGGATCAAACCGTAAAAATTTTATATTTTGAGACAAGCTTACTACAAATTTTGGTTAAGGATGTTCTAAAACTATGTTGTATCAAGTTTTGTTGTTCTCAAGGCCTTTTTTTTTTGGTTTGGTTCATTAAATTTTGAAAATTTGTTTTGATCACCCTGTATCTGATTGGAACAAAAATTCGTACATTAGGGTTTTAGACCATTCTAAACAAGAATCTGCTATCAGATTTTTTCTAAAAAAATCCCTGATAGTACTTATTGAAATTTGAGCCTATAAATGTGGACACCCTGTAAACCAGTGCAGCCGTAGAAATAAAATTATGAGCCTAATAAGTGACAAATTCGAGTAGCTACAAGACAAAAAAAAAAATGAATTGAATCGGTTGAAAAATAAAAATTTTAGAAGGGTGGTCAGTCCTTAAGCGGGACACACTGTATCAGGCGTATTTTTAATTCTGGGGGGCGGCAACGGAGGCGGTCGGCGGCGGTCATCTTCTAAATATCATTTTTGATGTTGACAGCACCCTTCCTAAGTGATCGCATCAAATTGGATTAAAAATTCAATACATCAGGCGTATTTTCTATACTGGGGGCGGCAATGGATGCGGACGGAGGCGGCAATTGTTTGCATGGCTCACATCACTTCTACTAACTGACCGCAACTTTACAAACTGATCGCATTCTATTAAATTGCTTATCCAGCCAAAAACTGCATTATCAGCAATTTGCTGATCAGCAAAATAGATTTTCCCACTTTTTGCAACTTTGACAGGCTGTAAAACCTAAACGGTTAATTTTAGACGAAAACCGATTTTACATTTCTGTCTTAGATTTTCATAAACTATCATTTGACACTAACTTTGAATTTAACCGGATATTAAATTTAATTAGAATCTTCCATCATGGATTAAATTCAAAGTTGGTGTCAAATGATAGTTTATAAAAATCCAAGATAGGAATGTAAAATCGGTTTTTCTACTATCGTGCGTAAAGTACTCGCTTTACGCACTATTCAGAAGATGTGAAATTTCCCTTCACGCACTAGTGCGTAAAGTAATTCACTTCACACACTAGTGTGTAAAATTATGTCATTGACACTGTCAATTATGTATTTTTCTGGTAAATTACTTCACGCACTAGTACGTAAAGTGAAAATACTTCACGCACTAGTGTGTAAAGTCTTTGTCTAAATCTATTTTTTGACACATATTTGATTGGTAGTAGAAAAAATTTTGTATACAATACGTGCGTAAAGCACCTTTTTTCACTCATGTGATTGTCAAAATTCACATTCGTGAAAAAAGGTTTACTTTACACACTTGTTGCATAAATAACTATTTTCTCTAAAATTAATCGTTCAGGTTTTACAGCCTGTCAAAGTTGCAAAAAGTCGATTTTCAACTGTTAATATTTCCAAAACAGTTGAACTTAGGTACAGAGTATATTACACAAAATCTGCTCAGAATTTTATGTAGAATCCAAATATGCAATCACATACAGGGTGTTCCGTTTAAAATTGCAATGTTGCCATTGGTTTAGAGAGAAGCGGCAACGCCGCATAAACAAAAATATTTTTAAAGTGTAGATTATGGTCGTTTATCCCGGTTGCCAAATTTTCAAAATTATCCGCTTTTTAGTTTTCCATTAACGTCTAATACGCCATCCCCCGTGGGACACCCTGTACATACAGGGTGTTCCTAAATATCATGTACAAATGGAAGGGGGTGATTCTTTGGTTTATTTTATAACTAAAAGTTCTAATAAACATAGGTTCGCAAACGCTTCGTTACCGATCTACAGGGTGTTGAAATTTTAATGTATTTATATTGAAAATGAGCAAGAATATGGCGGCGAGGGGTGTCTTACTTCTAGATTTTCATTGAAAATGAGCAAGAATATGGCTGCGGGATCTCTATTGTCGCCATTGTAGGTAGAAAAGGTTTATTGAGTCACTTTAGTTTCATCTAGCTAATTACAGAAATTTGTTTTTTAATTTTTTTCTCGATAAGGGTCGGTGATACGAAAAAACTACAAAAGAACAAAAAGTTTCTAAATAGGATAGAGAAATTATTTTATTTCTTAGAATCGCCCAGCGGCGCACCGCAAAAAAGTTCAGGGGCAGAAAAGGGGGCATGACCCCTGAAAAAACATCACCCTGTAAATTCTGGCAAACGTTTGATATGTGCAATCACTCAGTTTCTATTGCGTAACCTATGTTCCAAATTTGAGTAGAATCCCTCAAAAAACTTTAAAAAAAAATAAAATTTCTACACCCTGTAGATCGGTAACGAAGCGTTTGCGGACTAATGTTTATTAGAAATTTTAGTCATAAAATTAAACCTTTCGTTTGTACATGATATTTAGGAACACCCTGTATTTCAATCAGATTTTGCTTAGGTTTGAACGGAGATATTTCAATTTTTAGATTTATTTTACCGTAAGGGTCAATGTATTCGGTTTATTTCAAGCAATAATAAAAAGTATAATAAAACCTTCATTCTGTGCAAGTTTCAGCTTGTAACCCCAACGCGTTTACAATAGTTATTTATGCACCTAGGTCAAAAACTAGGTGAGGCGTTAGCCGAGGGCTGTTTACACGCTGAGGGCGTTAAAGCTCTTTTTGACTGAGGTGAGGAAGCAATTTTTGACAAAAGTATCATGTAACTATTATAGCAACCCAGAAGAATACAAACAAATAATTATGTGCTGTGTAGTGTATGTGTATGGTATTCTTATGATGGTAGTGCGTTATGAGTGCGTCTGAAAATGGAGCAAAATAGCATGTCCAAGTTTATTCTTGAGGCAGTTGAAGAGGCCAAGAAACATGTATACCTTCAAAGTCCAAAAGACTCTATGAAAAAACATAATATGAGGACTTTATTTCCTGATGTGCCCAACATAGTGTAAATGAGCAGCAGTATTTTGTAGAAGAAACTCTCCTGGCCTGGCATATACATACCTACATTAATATGGAAAATGCAAAAAAAAAATAAGCCATCCACCCTATGGAGCTTTTACTCAATGTTGAAGGCAACAATCCTTTTGTGTATTTCTGTGGAAAAGGGCCGGTTTTAAAAGTTAAAAACTGTAAAAATTGTATTTTCAATTTCAAAGTAGATTGAATTTTACCATTATTGCTTATTTTATTATTCTTATTAATTGAAATAAAGCTTGTTTTGTTGAAAAAATTTTTTGGACTAAGCAATAGAAATACAAAAAGTTTGAAAAAAATGGAGGAATTTTTGTTTATTTTTGAAACTTTCGGGCCCGCGGGCATTAAAGGCGCCCTAGGGCGTAAAAGTACTACTTCACGCTTTAAAATGCAATTAAAATTAATAATTTTTGCCTATTAAACTATTTTTACTATTTCAAATGCTCTTTTTGGGGGTTAAAATTCGACTTACTTTAATGGTGGCTGGCGCTCGTCTGGATTCAATAAATCTCGTACTTCTTCATTATAAAGCTCCAGAAATGATACACGAACGTTGTAATCATTTACTTTCCTCGAAGCGATTTCGTCGAATATGTTGGCGGCCACTCTGGGAATACAACCGGCTTTTTCGTTCTGAAAAGGAGAAAAATTCAATTGAAAAATTCTTAATTTTCAATTTGAGGCATCATAAATCAAGTATTAAAAAAACAAAGCAAAATAAATATTTAATTTATGAATGACCAACAAATTTAATCATTCAGATTCCGCCGCAAGCCGTTTCGCTGCAAGCCCGGGATTTTGCCAGAAACATTTTATAGACTATTTGAGAGGCATATTTCAATTTTCAATTTCAAATAAGCTTTATTGTCTCAATTTAAAAAAAAAAAAAAATTATTGACAAAGCAGTTTCTAAACTAAAAAATATCAAAATTCAACAAAAATATCAAAAACATAGAAATGAACAATTGTACAAAGGATAAAATAAAAATAAAAATAATAAAAATAAAAATAAAAATAAAAATAACAGTAAGAATAAAAATAGAAATAAAAACAAAGACAAGAGAAGCCAACAATCATATCACACAACTTTGAAATGCAGCACAATTGACAATAAAAAATATATACATATATATAATATACCTGATCAAAATCATGGCATTGTCCTTTTAATTACTACTTTATGCAGAAAGGGTTAGTTTGCTAGTGATTCTACCAAACAATAAAAATAACCTGGTCAAAATCATAGCATTGGCTTTTTTATAGCTACTTTATGCAGATAGGGTTAGTTTGGTTTTCTAGTGATTCTATCAAATAATAATAATAACATGGTCAAAATCATAGCATCTTTTTTATTGCTACTGAAAAAAGGGTTATAATTTCGGACTCCCCAATTCACCTGATGTCTTATTTAATTGCTTTTCAATATCAGCCCATCTCTGTTTCAAATGAAACAAAACTAGTAGTGTTTCATAACGCAACAAACGGCTGGCGGCGAAATGGCCTGCGGCGAACCGGATGCGGCGAAAAGTCCCACCCCCGCCTTTATTAGGGCGGGTATTATAAAACTACTTTGAGAGTTAACTTAAAGTTAACTTCTGAAAATACATGTAATTCAAAAAGTTAACTTCAAGTTAACTGTCAAAGCAGTTTTATAATACCCGCCCTTAGAATCCCACAGACCAGAAGACAGCAGGTAGAAATAATTTTATTTTGAGAAGATTTTTACTACAAAATCATCGAGAACATTTTGATTAAATTTTAAAACATTAAAGTATCAAGAATTGAAGGCTTGTTTGAAGCCTCAATAAGTTGAATTCTTGTGAAAATATTGCTTCAAATTTGCTATAAAAAGCTTTTTTTTTAAGTTAGTTTGCTACTTACTCGTCTCCAATCCAGTGAAGACAGGGAACTAGGATCACCTCCAGTCATGGTATGCGTTTTTCCTGTACCAGTTGGTCCATAAGCGAAAACGGTGCAATTGTATCCGGCGAGTACGTCGTTGATCATCGGCTCGACGACGTACGAGTAAATGTCCAGCTGGTTGCAATCGGGTTGGAAAACCCTGTCGAAGCAGTATTTTTTATCTTTTGTCTGGATTTCTCTGGGCGATATGCAGTTAACTGCCATTCTGGACCGGCCTCGGGATTCTTTTTCGTTGAAGGGTCTTGAAAGAATTACAAAAACGAAAAATCAAGCACATGTTATCTGAAGATAACATAATATAATGAAGAAAATAAACAAAAAAAAAGTTCAAAAACATAAGATGACCCACAAAAAGTCTGAAAATTTTTTTTTACCAAGCTTTGTACTATTCTTTTTCCGACGTTATACCTGATGAAAATAAATAATAATGAAAAGTAAAAATGAGCTGAAACGAATACAGTTTTTCAAAAAATATGTTCTACTATATTTTTGTGTCATTTTTTGTTTATCCCAGCCCAGGCTCTGGAAATTTCTCAATAAGAGAAAGAAAACACACAGAAATGCATAATTGATGGGAACTTGTGGAAAATTGATAGACAAATCAAAATATGTAATTAGTCTATTCCAGGTGTTTGAAATTTCCTTATTACAACAGAAATTCAATATCCAAGAATAGACAAAAAATAAGGATCAGGAAGAGAAATTTTTTTAAAAAAAATAGAGAAAAATGATGAGACTTGTAGAAATATATTATTTTTATTAAAGTTTCTATTGCAGGTAGTGATGTAAAATGCTCGAGCAAGTATTTTAGGAGAACGTTCTCCGAGCACGATCGAGAATTAAAGAGAATAAACGAGCAAAAACGAGCAGGACCCGAGAATTTATGCTTTTTATCAGAAGCTGAATAAAATAAAACATTTTTCTAAATAAATTCTGATTTTTCTCAAATTTCCCGAAATTCCCACATTTCTTGTGAAAGTTCTGAATATTCTGAAAATTCTTGATAAATGTGCTGAAAGTTCTCAAACTTCTTAAGAAAATATACCTACCTACTTAATAAATAATTAATCACATAATTTGTGAATTGTGTCATGTTTGATAACAATAATTATTCTAATTTGGGGTTTCCAGTATACACATTCTGTTTAAATTTATGTTTTTAATTTTATACATTTTTATTAAATTTTTATTCAGGAACTCTGTTTCTTTCCGACTTTCAGCTGCGTATTGTATTCTACTTTTATTTGCTATTTTTAGTGTAATTTTTATTTAATTTTAAAACTTTTCTATGAACATTAATTTTCTCTTCTTTTTATTTATAACATGACATGCATTTGTATTTACTTTTTTTATTTTCTTTATTGTATCTTTTTATGTCAAGGCTTTGTCTACAAATGTTTATTTTTTATGACAATAAAGCTAATTTGAATTTGAAAAAATTACTTTTCGAATGCTCATCTGCGTTGAATATCTTTGTGCTTAGGTTTCTAGAAGTTTTTTCATGTTGCTTACTATGTCACTCACCGTTTCAAATATGATGTCAAACAAATGTTTCTAACGAGCAGGGAATAGATAAATAGAGAGGGGGATAGATATTCCACAAATCAAATTCGCGATCAAAAACTTGTGGCAGGTGAGTACGAATGCCGCGACCAAACTCCTCAGAATTGCCGTGAATACCAATGAATGCCGCGCGACTTCCAGCGACTGCCGAGTGAGTTCTAGCAACTACGCGGAATTGTGCCACTGACTGCCAAATTTCCAATGACTTCTAAGCAAATTCCTGTGAATTCCACAATAGAATCAAGAAAATGTACATGTAATTCCAGAAGTGACACACCCCTCGAGTGCACTCAAATAGAAATATTTTTTCAAGTTAAAATCACTATTCTAAAGCCTCTAAAAATATTGTGAAAGGGCTTTTGAGTTATTAATTCAGTATCGAGTTGATAGGTAAGACTGTAAGACTACCAAAGATGAAAAATTAGACTCAATCTCAAGGGTGAATTCCTGAGCTAGAAGGATTGTACTTGAGAGGGTCTGTTTTGAAAGAGAATCTCTACTTTTTCACCAAGCTACAAAACAACAGAGGCCTTGTTAAGGCTCTTTACTCATCTCGTTAAATCTCACAATAAACTTGTAATAATCAATTCAAGCCCCACTATCAACTTGAATACAAATAAAAGAAAAAAACAATTCTTACCTGACTCTCACAACAACTTTAATGTTTTGGCCCACTTTCTTTTTCTGGGTATTGATTTGAGCAGCCATTATTCTTAGTAAGTTTCTACTTTCAAAATCAACTAAATTATTTTTCAGTGGGAATTGGTAATAAACATTCAAATAATGGCTGGTTTATACAACATTTGCATAATAAAATAATATTTTCTTATGGAACTGTTTATACACAAATCATAATCATAAGCATAACTCAAAGTTGGCAACTTTTCACTTTTATGATTGTGACTTAGGCCCAGTTGTACAATTTCGTTTCAAAACAAAGTTCAACTGAACTTGACTGGTACTTGAGCTTTCCCATTTAAAATACATGCTGTTAAACTCGCCTTCTCAGACTATGATTATGATTACGACTATGCAAATGTTGTATAAAAGATCGTTTATATTTGCCGTCGGCCCCACCGTCCACCGTTATTAGCTCTGCCGTTCCGTTCCGTTAGACATAAACCAATTTTATCTTTTCCGTTGCCGAAATCTGTAGCAAGTCATGCTACAGTTTCAAGTTTGAGGGCCTATTCGGGTTTGGAAAAAGTACGGTTCTAGAACGGTCCAAAAGAATCGCACAGTTTATTAGTGAAATTTGTGATAGCCGAGTCGTTGTTATTTTGCTCATTAATAAACTGTACGATTGTTTTGAACCGTTCTAGAACCGTCCTGTTTCCAAACCCGAATAGGCCTGAGCCTCATAACGGATTTTCACCAGTCCAGTCCAGTCACTTATGTGATGTTTACCACAAATGTCATCGGGATGAAGTGGGAGAGATTATTTTGATTTTTCGAATTTAAAATTTTGTTTCAGCTCATGTTATTCATGTTAATTATTATCAAATCAGTAAATTACCACCAAATCGTCCAAATCACTCACAAAATGACAAAATGAAGGCACACGCACAACAGAGGTTATGTTTATTATTTACTTTTTGAGACCGGCAAACGGCAAGTTTATAAATGGTCTCATTTTTGTGGCTGCGAACGGCGGGGCTAACGGCGAGCCATAAATGGGCCTTAAATAAGCCATAAAATCAAACACGAGCGAGCATACCTCAAACCAAAAAATCACTGAAAAATTGAAAAAGATATAATGGCCGTTGGAAAGCGTCAAAATTTGAAATTGACAAGGACAAGTGACACGCAATAGTTGTATTCCTTTCACGCCTAGGAGGAGCTCCGGAACAGCTCCGGGGCTTCACGCGCTTATTCCTTTCGAAAAGTGTTTGTTGCACCACGCATATGTTCCCTGCAAATCGGGGACGACTAAGCACCGAAGCGAGTAGCTCGAGTGTTTCAAGCTCTTGAAAGGAATACAACTATTAGTTGTAAAAATTCCTTTCAAGGAGCTTTAAACACTCGAGCTACTCGCTTCGGTGCTTGGTCTCCCCCGATTTGCAGGGAACATATGCGTGGTGCAACAAACACTTTTCGAAAGGAATAAGCGCGTGAAGCCCCGGAGCTGTTCCGGAGCTCCTCCTAGGAGTGAAAGGAATACAACTAATAGTTGTTCAGAGCCACTTTCCTGTGCCCAAATTGTTAGAGTATCATGCTCCTGAAATGTGACGCTCTTGAACTGTTCGACAGCAGCACTGGAACGCTCTCGTCTTAACCCCCACCATTTCGGATTTCAGAGAGGTGCTTTCCAGTGACCTATTTGAGTTACTCCGGAGCAGCTCAAGAGTGCTCCACAATTACTTTGCGCGTTCCAGTGCTTAGAGTGTCGTACACTTGAACTACTGATTTTCAATGACATTTTCTGTTATCCCCTGCCCCCTCGTCCACCAACCTTTATTTCGGTGTTTCATGCTCCTGAAGTGCGAAATGGTGGGGGTTAAGACGGGAGCGTTCCAATGCTGCTTGTGTGGAACAGTTCAAGTGCGTCACACTCCAGGAGCATGATACTCTAACAATTTAGGTACTGGAAAGCGGCTCAGGAGCATGAAACATGAAACAGGCAAAAGGGTTGGTGCACGAGGTGGCAAAGTTGCCAGACGTCCCACCTTAGGAGGGACAGTCCCGCATTTTGTTAATCGGTCCCGCCTTTTTTTTATTAATTTCAGGTCCCGCTTTTCACGCGAATTGTCCCGGTTTTCCCGCTTTTTCCACCCAATCTTCGCATTTAGTGCAAAAAACACGCTCAATTTACAACTTGTTACATAAATAGCTATTTCTACATTTAAAAGCGACGCAAAAATCAAATAACGAACCTGAATCGCAAACATTTCATCGAGGTCTGCGGATGACGTTACCAATATTAGCTGCGGACGTGGTGACGTCACTCGCAGACCTTGTGGACTCGAGAACCGGCAAACGTACGCCTTCTCAGGATGAACAATCCTGTTAGTTTACGATTCTTGGGTTTTAATAATAAATGTTGTATGTTGTGTAGGCATAAAAATGTGAAAAATTCCAACAAAATCCAAATCTCATTGCACAAACAAACTAGCATCTGCAAAAAACTTTTTTTCTGGCCACTGAAAAATAGGCATCTTTCGATAAAATAGTGATAAAATATCTAGTGACGAAAGTGAAAACGTTGATTCTTCTGCGGAACTATTGTACAATGATTATTGTACTAAGCTCAAAATGTTTGAGGCATGATGATAATAGATGGCGATATTAGGCTAGTACCATTGTAGTTGCAAAACTATTGAAATCATTCACAGAAAATTTGTAAAGAATTTGATTAGCTTTAATTGAAAACTAATTTTACGTTGGAATCGGGTTGAAATTTTAATTAATAAATACCTACGTTAAAACTAATTAAGAAAATATTCAAATAAAATTAGGTTAGGAATTTCCTATATGTACATGAAATTGACCTATTAGCAATCGACGTTCGTTTTTGTTGGTAATTTTTTGTTTCATCTGATCACAATTGCTTAGCACGATTTTATCTCAGGAACTATAAGTGTCAATGAGCTGAAATTTTCAGGGATTGTAGTCCTTTGAAAGGGATGAAATTCAGTGAAAGATTCAGCTTTCTATCTATAATAGAAAAAAAATTACGAACTTTGAAATTTTTCCAAAAAAATCATAAGGGGGGTACCTTCTTACTAAAGTGATGAAATTTCAATTTTTTTTTTTGTCGAGATTTTGGGTTCTACTGGTCCCTCGCAATACCCTGAACTCCATACACAAAATTATTCTCAGATTTGAAGCCGAAATCTATGGAAAAAGGCACTCAGAATAATTGAAAAATTGATAAATCACCCCAATTGCTTAACACGATTTTATCTCAGGAACCACAAGTGCAAATGAACTGAAATTTTCAGGGATTGTAGTCCTTTGAAAGGGATAAAACTCAGTGAAAGATTCAGCTTTCTATCTATAATAGAAAAAAAGTTACGAACTTTGAAAGTTTTCCAAAAAAAATCATAAGGGGGGGTACCTTCTTACTAAAGTGATGAAATTTCAATTTTTTTTTTGTCGAGATTTTGGGTTCTACTGGTCCCTCGCGATACCCTGAACTCCATACACAAAATTATTCTCAGATTTGAAGCCGAAATCTATGGAAAAAGGCACTCAGAATAATTGAAAAATTGATAAATCACCCCAATTGCTTAACACGATTTTATCTCAGGAACCACAAGTGCAAATGAACTGAAATTTTCAGGGATTGTAGTCCTTTGAAAGAGATAAAACTCAGTGAAAGATTCAGCTTTCTATCTATAATAGAAAAAAAAATTACGAACTTTGAAAGTTTTCCAAAAAAATCATAAGGGGGGGTACCTTCTTACTAAAGTGATGAAATTTCAATTTTTTTTTTGTCGAGATTTTGGGTTCTACTGGTCCCTCGCGATACCCTGAACTCCATACACAAAATTATTCTCAGATTTGAAGCCGAAATCTATGGAAAAAGGCACTCAGAATAATGAAAAATTGATAAATCACCCCAATTGCTTAACACGATTTTATCTCAGGAACCACAAGTGCAAATGAACTGAAATTTTCAGGGATTGTAGTCCTTTGAAAGGGATAAAACTCAGTGAAAGATTCAGCTTTCTATCTATAATAGAAAAAAAGTTACGAACTTTGAAAGTTTTCCAAAAAAATCATAAGGGGGGTACCTTCTTACTAAAGTGATGAAATTTCAATTTTTTTTTTGTCGAGATTTTGGGTTCTACTGGTCCCTCGCGATACCCTGAACTCCATACACAAAATTATTCTCAGATTTGAAGCCGAAATCTATGGAAAAAGGCACTCAGAATAATTGAAAAATTGATAAATCACCCCAATTGCTTAACACGATTTTATCTCAGGAACCACAAGTGCAAATGAACTGAAATTTTCAGGGATTGTAGTCCTTTGAAAGAGATAAAACTCAGTGAAAGATTCAGCTTTCTATCTATAATAGAAAAAAAGTTACGAACTTTGAAAGTTTTCCAAAAAAATCATAAGGGGGGTACCTTCTTACTAAAGTGATGAAATTTCAATTTTTTTTTTGTCGAGATTTTGGGTTCTACTGGTCCCTCGCGATACCCTGAACTCCATACACAAAATTATTCTCAGATTTGAAGCCGAAATCTATGGAAAAAGGCACTCAGAATAATTGAAAAATTGATAAATCACCCCAATTGCTTAACACGATTTTATCTCAGGAACCACAAGTGCAAATGAACTGAAATTTTCAGGGATTGTAGTCCTTTGAAAGGGATAAAACTCAGTGAAAGATTCAGCTTTCTATCTATAATAGAAAAAAAATTACGAACTTTGAAAGTTTTCCAAAAAAATCATAAGGGGGGTACCTTCTTACTAAAGTGATGAAATTTCAATTTTTTTTTTGTCGAGATTTTGGGTTCTACTGGTCCCTCGCGATACCCTGAACTCCATACACAAAATTATTCTCAGATTTGAAGCCGAAATCTATGGAAAAAGGCACTCAGAATAATTGAAAAATTGATAAATCACCCCAATTGCTTAACACGATTTTATCTCAGGAACCACAAGTGCAAATGAACTGAAATTTTCAGGGATTGTAGTCCTTTGAAAGGGATAAAACTCAGTGAAAGATTCAGCTTTCTATCTATAATAGAAAAAAA